GCCCCAGGCCCTGCCCGGGGGATGCTGGCGGAATCGTTGCGGTTGGGAAAGACCTTGAAAAATCATTCAGCCCGGCCGTTATCTCGCTCTGCCAGGCCCACTCCTAAACCAGGGCCCTGAGCGCCACATCCCCGCGGCTTTGAAATTCATCTGACGATGGGAATTCAACCCTTTCAGCGCAGAAATTTTTCTTCTAAACGTCTCCTGGCATAACGAAGCCTTTTCTCACTTGTGGAGCCTCCAGAGTTGGCTTTAGGAACCAGCTCCTCTTCCCTCTCTTTGCCCCGCCACCCTTGCTTTATTTATTTATTTGCTTATTTATTTATTTCCAGCCTCGCCGTAAGAACGCCGTAATGCGTTGTTTTCCTCCTTGCTCTAACTTTGATGCTCTCTTTGATGCTTCTCCTGCCGCAGGGACCTCACAGGTCTTCATTTCTACACAGTGAACAGCTTTTGGCTGCAGATCTGAAAAAAACAAAACCAAATAATCGAGTAAACAGTAAACAATGGCTCCTACCAGACTGTGTTCAGGGCTGTTCCCCGGATTCTGTTCTAGTGGAAGGTGATGTAAATCCTAGAGCCGGTTCTCTTTGCTGAGGAAAATGTTGCTTGTTTGTGTAAATTCTGTGGTGCTCGTGCCTGGGAACCAAAGGAATTTAGGAAGGTTTTGGAGGTAGGAGTCAGAGAAGCTTTTCTTTAGGCCTCGAGTAATGCTTTCTTAGTCACTTCCTCGGACAAATCACAGGGATTTAAAAGAAATGGTCGGGTTGCCTGCAGCAAAGATTCTGTTGGTTTGAGGTGGGGCTTCTGAGGGATGAAGAGCACTAAGTAAACCCTTTGGGAGACGGGTTGTGTTCCTCTGCTGTTCCGTACGCGGTCCTGGTATGTCTTGGAGGTAATATTGGGACAGTTTTTGAAGAGCTCTCTCTGTAGTATTTCTGTGCCCTGATTTCCAAATGAATAATCCGTTGATAATTCTATACCTGTTACTTTTTGTTTTTCTTGTTCACCTGCAGACAGACAATACTGACTCTGCCGATAGAGTCCACAGTTGGAAAGACTGATTTCTTTGTAAATTCTGAGGTTGAGGAGTGGTAACTTTCGGTGTTGGCATGTGTTTCTTTTTTTTAAAAAAAGTCCTTTTTAACCATGTAGCCAGAACAGGTTAGCGGCACTGCTGGGCAGCTCTTGATTTTGCCACTAACCTTGATTTGAGTGGAGAACCATCCTGTTTGTAAAATGCTGTGTTTCTCTTCTTAAACTACCCACTTCAACTCAGCTTTCTGGTACTAGAGGTTTATTAGATCCTGCCTCAGAAATTAAAGCAACTTGCATGTACTTTATGTTGTACAACAGAAAGAAGCCAGTGTCAGCCTCTAACATTAGCTGCAGTTCCACGACATTTATGCTATTTAAACACAAAGCTGCTCTCGTTAAATCTTCTAAAATAAGCTTAACTGGGTTGTTGCAGGAATTTGGCTATAAAATCCAAACTTGAGACCACATGGAATGTCCTTTTAAGATCTGTTGTTCCGTGGTGTTGGTTTAGATCGCACACATGTAATTTTCTCTGTGTGAAGGGCGTTAAAAAGTGTGAAACAATTGATTTTAAAAGGCTTGGGTTGGTAAGTATTAGGAATTACCTTCCTATGGGTAAGTATAAAAATGTCGAGAATGTTTTGATTTAAAGCAATTCAAAATATCTGGCACTTTAGAAATGAACCACACCTGCTTTAAGTTTACCTATCAACCCAATCCAGTTAATAAGAGGGAAAAAAAAGGTCAAAAAGGGAAGGTTAAGATAATCAAAAGAGACTATGTGTAGTGCAAAATTGGAAAGTTTGATCTAGAAGAATGTTTAAACCAGCTGTCTCGAGTCTTTGCTTAGGAAGCTTCTGTTTGCCCAGCCTGCTCCGGTGTCTGCCATCGTGGAGTTGGAAGAATATGGTCGTTGCGTACCTTTGCCCAGCTCCTGTTTCGGTGAGAGCTGAGGAGGAGGAAGGACAGGGCGAGTGACAGCTGCCTTGGAGGTACAAGAAAACCAAGCCTGGATAGAGGGAGATCCTGAGTTGTAACATTCACTGTACCTGGGTTGCTTTGTGGCCTTGAGCGAAGCATTGAGTTTCTTCTTATCTCAGCCTTTCCCGCCAAAAAGGCGAGGGGTCGGAATTGAAATTGCTTGAATCTTAAATTATTTTAAGAAATTGAGAGGCAAGCCACTACGTGGCCTTTTCCTTAATATTGCGAAGGTGTCAGGACGTACGCGTGTCAGAGCTTTGATTGGTAATACAGCATGGGGAGCGTGCTGTGTGGGCTTCTGCAACGCGTGCTGCTGCCAAAAGAGCTCTCCGAGAAGTACGTAATGTATTAATTTTATCGTTCCTTGAGGTGTGAACATCTCAGGCACCAACAGTGATTCCGAAAGGCGCTCAGAAAAAGCCTGTCTTTTAAAAAGTAGCTTGGAGGCTTACAAGCCTTTTTTTCTGACTAAAACTTTAAGACTAAACTCTTCAGACAGCTGTGTCTTGTGAGGTGCATTCAGCAAACTACTAACTACTGAAAAACTGACTTTTTATTGCCCAATTGCAAAGATTTTTGCCGTTCTTTGTTCAAAGAACATCTTCCGAGTTCAGCGTTAGTAGACAAACTCGGGTCCAGTGTTTGCCCTGAACCTTGGGAAGGTGGAGGAGCTGCGTGGCGCTTTCCTGGGAACAGCTCCTGCGCTATTTTTCCTCGCGTGACGTCTAGAGAACTGAAAAGGGAATTTCTGCGTTTTGGCTTTTCTTTTTGGTGGGGATGCGGGTGAGGGCGGCAGGAGGAAGGAGCGATGGGCATCCCACCAGCTCAACCTTCCACCCACCACGAGGTGGCTGCTGCCGACTGTGCAGGTCCTGTAGCACAGCCCGGGCCACGTGTGTACTCGAGGTGCAGTCGGGTTGTGGCTGCTCAGGAAGTGGCGCAGGCGGAAAGGAGATGACAAGCTTGATTTCTGTTTGGAGTGGAACATTTCTCTAAATTAGCTCTGATGTGGACAGAAGGTCCGTTTCTGGCTGAAGCGATGCTGGAGCGTGCCACCTACGTGGTTTCGTTGGAAAGACGTTGATTTCCTGTGCTGTGAGACTGTTGCACCATGTGAACGAAAGCCCAATATGTGAGGGAGATCTGGTATTTACCTCAAAACATTTGGAAATGCAAGCTTCTGTTTGAACTAAAACACAGATACAGATGTACTTTACCAGTGACTCTGGTAATTTGTAGTGGAATCAGGCACTTGTGACTGTTAGACCACAACTGCTAGTAAAATACTGTGGCTTTTTTTTCCATCTACGTTATATATTGCAAACCCTTAGAAGCTCAAACTCTTCTCTTTGTCCAAGGGAAAAAAAATCACTCCTCAGGCTACTACTTGGATTAAGACCCAGAATTCAAGAACGAGGCTGAAAAACCCACCCAGATTCAAAGCAGTTAGAGGAACAAACAAGAAACTGAACAAATAGTTCTGTATTATAGCTCGTTTTCTCTGAAATGAAGAAAATAAGAGTATTGGTAGAACTGGGCTGCGGATCTGGATGATGTGTAGGTGACGGGTATTTCGTTGCCAGGCCCAGGTGACAATACTGTTTCATCAAGTCCAGTGTCTTGCTTCAGCGGCGTCTTCTATGTTTCGGGAAAAGTTGGGCTACTCGTGCACCAAAGCAACAATTCTGTGTACAGGATGTTGAACCAGTTTAGCCTCAAAGCAGAAAATTTTGTTACTGGAAGCTGCGGAGGTAGTGGCAGCCACACAGCTACAGTACGTGGCTTGCTCTGAAAAATGTGTGTGATCTGAAGGACTTTCTTTTCATTCTGCGTGCGCTAGTGAATTTAATCCTTTCTTACAGGCTTTACTGAGCGGGAGGGTTTTTTCACAGGACTTTTTTTCGCAGTTCCTCTGGCTCCCTCTACTCCTGGAGGGAGGGCAGTGGCAGAGCTGACTTGGAACAGGCTGTCTTGCTTCTTCTCCCTCTTCCCAAATGCGTGCAATATACAGTATTTTCAAGAAGCTGATTTACAGTTACCTGTAACTTTCTGGCCAGGCTCTTGGCATGCAGTGAAGCCTTGCTTCTTTCTTCCTTCTCAATCAAATTCCTATGAAGAGAGATGAGGAAGTTGGTAATTTTTCCATCTGTGCAGTCTGGGGAGCAGTAAATCCCTGGTAGAGTCTGCTATTTTCCAATTTGTTATTACGTGTCTTGTATCGCTTTCCTGCTTCCTTTGGAAGTTCTGACAGGTTCTTCCTCAGCTTTCTTGTTCAGAACTTTGCCTGGGATTTTAGATTGTTTTCCTCACTTGTCTTTCATAATTAATAGCAGGACTACACCTTTCATGAGTATTTTAAACATGGGTTTAAGGTAGAGTCAGAGTGCATCCCATGGGATTTTTTTCATTCAGCTACAGAAGCAATGATCAGATTGTGACATGACACCACAGAAGATCTGCTGGTTTCCATGGAAGTCCCTTGGTTTCTCGTAGCTGGAATAGCAGTCGGTTCTACAAACAGCTTGCTAAGTGCTTGTGTGGGGGAGTGAGTTTGGGGAGTAAGAAACTTGATTGCCTCTCTTGTTTGGGCATTAGCACCGTTCTCATGCAAAATGTGTTATTACCTTCATGCTGAACTCCCACAGATCCACTAACCAGAAGTACAGCTCGGTGCCTCTGAGTGCTGGGCCTTCAAAAATTAAATGTTAGGCCACCTCCAGTCCTCTTGGCCTTCTCGACAGCAGTGATCCTCCAGCTCTGGGCTGGCGGTGTGGATCTGCTCTACTGGCCAGAAAAGACCAGTTCTTTATTCGGAAAAATAGGGATGCTGGAGTGAATGAATCACGATAATCTCTAAATAATGTGCATTGTTGACTCCTAAGTCCCCCCCAGTATGTGGTTTATAATTCCCCCAAATCCCCTCAAATGCTTAAGAAATTCTTCAGCAGAAAGGTTAAGAACATACAAGTAGGAAAATGCTTTTTTATCAATCCAGACCTGAAAGTTTGAGTCTAAAGAGTATTTATCGAATGCTGGGTTTGCCAGCAGATCTGCATGAAGCACGTTGGAGGCTGGCCCCAGCAGCCATCCTTCTGACTAGATGTGCCTTAACATGATCTTGAAATTACAGGCAAGGTAAGGAATAGTAATGAGATCCAGCCTGGGAAGCCTACTTTACTTCCCTTAAAGAGACACTGCTTTGATGCACAAATGTGCAAATGAGAGAGAGGTTTTATATCCTGGCCTTTTCACCGTGCCATATGGAGCTTTTTTTTTTCCTCTCTTCCCCAAATGAAACATGAGGAATCCTCAACAGCGCTCGAGAAGCGAGATCTCGCTGCAGCAGGTGTGCTGCCCTGGAAACCCTCGGCTGGAGGGTTGAGGTGGAAACCCGTCCTTCCTTCTGCCGGAGTCCTGGGGCGTGTTACAGTCCTCTTACCTCCGTCTCCTACGGTATGAGGTGGATTTGTCATCGGCCTTACATCTGTGGAATTGAATTCTCTTTGGGGATGTTTAACGTGTGTAATTGGAGCTCCCAAACGAGCAGTGACGGTGTTTGTAAAGATTGTGCTGCGGGCAGCTTCCAAATCACTTAGGAGAGCGATTTCCTACAGACGGGTGTCATCCCTGTAAATATCAAGGGACTGGCAGAGCGAGGAGCAGAGGAGTAAGGCAAGAGTATCTTTTTTGTTAGCACGTGGATGAGAAATTATTTGAATTAAACCTACATGTGCTGCCTTCCTTGCTTGAGGGTGGAAGGCCTCTGCTTTTGTATCTGTTCAGAGTGGGTAGATAAGTAGCATGGACGGTTTTCCTGCTCTTTGGGGGACACGGCAAAATACTTATTTTCTATACAAAGCAGCCTTTTCGCTGCACCCTGTCCCGGCAGGCTCGGCTGTGTTTTCCCATCTTCTCTGGTGCTGTTGGATACGCCTCAGTGTAAATCTGTAAAAACACACATGGGATCCGAGGCTTCTTAATCGTACTTTTTTTTTAGCGTGTGGACCAAATAAATGAGTCTATGGGGAACCAGCAAGAGAGTACCAAAGCGATTTTAGCAAACTCTTTGAATGCCTCTTGTAAGGAACAAAGGCGAGAAGTCATAGGTCCTGCAAGTAACCGTTGCTGTCCCTGCAATGCGTTGCAGAGGTGAGCGGAGTTGTTGGGTGATATATTCCATGAATGTGGAGCAAAACCTTGTCTGCAGTGGAAAATTTTGCACGGGGTTAGTGCCTCTCGTGATACCAAGAGGTTTGGCAATACTGAACTGTTCAAAGGATGTTCAAGCTTCAGTGAGCTGTTGAAGTGAAAATATTTTAGATAATACGGTCAATGAAGCCAACTCTTCTTTAAACCTCTTGAGTGAAAGCTGCAGAGCTAGCTTCAGAGTGTCTTTCACTAATTAGCAGTCCTTGGTGGCAGAGAAAATCTGAATTTTTGCCTGGCTGTGTCATGTTGTTGCTGAGTTGATTCCCCTATCACTTACATAAACCAGCAGGATAAACAGGCACAGGAAATGGCTGGTAATTCTTCTGCATCCTCAGAGGCTGGTGTAAAGTGCCTGCTGCAGTGAAAAACACTCAGTTTGCCTTTGTAAAGAAGATTTAACTCCTTCCTCTGTTTTTTTTTAAATTTTTTTTTAAACTTTTGAGCGTAAAGACTTAAGTTTTCCTTGTAGCTCTGGATGAGGAGGTTTGGAATTACTTCAGAAAAATCCATTTTTTGCTTTGAACAGCCTTTCTCTCCTGTGTGTTTGTGCTGGCATTCCCATGTCAAAAGGGTCGGACTGTCGGCAGTTACCATCGCCCTCGCCTTCATCTCGGGGCGCTTTGAATCCAGGGCGCTCTTGAATAGGCAAATAAAACCGGCTCGTTGGGGGAAGATGAAACGAAAGCGTCCGCCTGAATTTCTGATTTCGTTAAGAGGGAAGTTCGAGACAGGTAAAACACCAAGAGGAGGGGGGGGAATCTGGTTTAGGCTCAACCCCTGCCAGGACCACGCGTGTGTGTGTGTGTGTGTGCAGCTGAGCTGGGAGCAGCCCCCAGCCTGGCTGCCAGGCCCTGTACCTGCAATGCAGTGCTGTGCAGCTGCAGCTGGGTGGTGAAGGCAAAAAAAAACCTCTTCTCCCTCACCCTTGCACAAAAGCTCCGCTGCCTTTCGGGAGAACCAGCCCCTCCGCCTGCCTTCCATGTGTCCCCCCCCACCTCCCGGCCCGCCTGCCGTCTGATCTTTCATGGCTCTTTCGAAAACCGTCGGCCTGTCGTCGCTTATATCTTTATCGATGGGAGGCCGCGCTTCGTGCAGGTAGGTTGCCCCCTTCGGTTTTTATTTTTGTGTCGCGGGTTTGCGGTTCTGGCAAGAGAGAATAAGGAGGGAATGAAGACTTTTCTTCCTGTTCTTCAGAGAATAAGGGTCTCTGGTTGTGGGTTCGCATGAATTCCAGTAAAGATCCAGGGTTTTGCCTTAGTGTTGCTGTTCCACATTGTTTTGCTTAGGTAAAATACTGTTATATAGTTGCGGAGAGACCCCACAAATCCGGTTAATTCTGGTCATTAATTAGTTCATTGAGGGAGCAAAAGTAAAAGGTGATCGAGGTGTTCTTGCATAGAACGGAGGTGGCTATAAAAATTAAGTACCTGAGAGCACTTGATTTTCTTTAGTGTGTATGCTATTGACCATTTTCCATAGGCTTCTCATGTATTCTTTTCTGCATTTTGCAATGTTGCTGTTTCAGCTGTCATCTTTAAATACCGAGCAGGGATTTTTCTGCTGTCTTTAGCAGCCTTTTGTGCTTTTTTTTTGAGTACAGTCTGCGTGAGCAAAGCAGACAGACGAGGGTTGTGGGTTTGTCTATCAGTTTTTCTTTGCTATTAATACATATTCTGCACTGATTAAGTCTCTCTTAATCCCTATGTGCAGTCAACGTGGTCACTTTGGGGGAAGAAGGTGGGGTGTAATGACATCTAATGAATTTTTGTGGGAAGGCGAAGGGACGAGCTGTGTTTTGGAGGCGATTTCCTTAAAGGAAATAGCACTGTAGAAATGTATGTGACCTGAATAGGGCTCGCTGTCACATTAGTCTGTGTAAGAGATTATAATGTAGAAGTGAAAATGCTTTGGGATCCCTGGGACAGACTCAGATGCAGGGTCCAGGGTGTGTCGCCTTCCACGATCTGTCAGCCTCCCCTTAGGAGGGGTGCAGAAAGCTTCCGAGAGAATGGCGTTCAGCGCTTCCAGTAACTTCTGCCTTGATGCGTGAAATGACCATTATTGCAAAGCATCGGGACTGCAGCATTGCATGATGCTTCTCTCTGCATCACTGCTTCTTCAGATGAATTTTCTTTTCAGCCCCTTCTAATCCCCTCCAGCTTGTGCGGTTACAAAAGCGAGGACCTTGAAACAGCGTTGGGGAGGATTATTCTTTACTCCTTGTGCTATGGGTGTGGCTGCCGGGCAGAAATTCTCCTTTCTGTCCAGTTCTGTGTTCTGGTTTTCCTTTCCCTGTCTATCGGATTTGGTAGATATGAGCGTTCTGCCCATGGCCCCTTCCTGCTTTTGCTACCTGCTCTTATTTTGGGGGGCGTCTCTGACTTTATTTGTAGCTCAACTGTCCCCAGGGGAATGCAGCAGGTTTAAAGTAGCTTTTTGACCTCCAAGACTTTTTTCTTTTTCTCCCCGTTTTCCTTCTTCCTACCCCTGAGTTGTAATTCTGTGGCTCATAGGGGAAAAAATGTCTAAATCCTCAGTATCTTGGGCCTGGGTTAAGCTATGGGGTTCTTAATAAACGTCTCATTAGCAGCAGTGGAATGGACTCGTTTTGTGGTTCAGGACCACTAATCTGCGTTGCTTATCTGTTCCTGAATTAAAAAATCAGCAGGACTTAGTAGCTCTGACAACTGACTGAAATAAATGTCGGGTGGTTTGGTTGTGCCCGGGATGCCCTTCGTAGGTCCTTTTTGCTTTAATATGAGCTTCAGTTCCAGATTGTAGACGGCTGCAAGTTTATTTGTGATTGGATTGCCGGCTGTGATTTCTTTGTGTGCCCCACGGATTTGTAAGATAGCTGCAGGTTTAATGCACAGTCATGGATTTAATGGATTGAAGTCTCAGCAGAGAGCGTGTGTGCTGGGGAAATGCTGAGCATTCCTTCTGCTGTATTCAAAATTGAGATACTAAGGTGGAGAGGAGTTAGTACGGCCCTGATGCCGTGCACGGGACCCCAGCTCAGCCATAAAAACAACATCTGAAAGCCCGTGTGCCTTAGCTCATGCACTGACATAACCAGTGGCTCTCTCAGCAGCTACTCCTTGGAGCAAAACGAGTTGAATTTGAAATGAGGTGGTGGGAGGCATCGATTTTGTCTGGCGCTTCGCTGGAACAATAGTTTCAATACAAGAAACTTCCGCGAATTCACGCTGTCGGGGAAGCTCATTGTAAAGAATGTTATCTCGTTGCTGTAGACAAACTCATTGCCCACCTCTTTGGACAACAATTCCAGCTTATTTTAATATCTTCTAAAGCTTAGTATTAATGTCCTGCAGCGTTTTGCCATTAAATCTTGCCAGCTCAAGTGGGCTATAGGCACTGCTTTCGTTTTAAGTGCTTGCTTTGTACAAAAAGGATATTAAACTTTGGAGACAATTAACCATTCCCTGTAACGCTTTGTGAATTAACTTTGCTGGTTTAGCATTATCCCTTCAGAGCTGTGGGGCTGGAAGCAGCACGCTGCTGCGAAGGAGGAGTCGAGCACGGGGGGGACAGCAAATAGATTTAAGCCTGAATGCAGCTTAAATGTATGAGAGCAACCAGGTGCCCGTTGCCTTTGTCATCTTCACAAGCAGGAGCTTAGAGAGTAGCACATTTAGCAAAAGTTAAACACACAAAATTAATGTTTTTATCTGTGAATGTGAGAGTGAAAAAAAAAAACACACCCAAACACTTCAGTGCCTGATTTCAATCCCTCTGCAGTCACAAGCTCTCGGAAGGGTTTGCAGAACATCTGCTCCGCGTCCTCCCACTCTCCGTGGTTCAGACAGCTGTAACAAACTTCAGACCTTTAGTGAAGAGACAAAACTAGAAACGGAGCCTCCTGCAGGAGGACGGGAACAAGCAAGAATGGTATTGGGGATTTGAGAGCTCTGGAGCGGTAGAAACGGAAGATTTGTTAAATCTTCATCTGACCTTGAAGGTGAAAGGGACAAAGGGCACAAGTTCTAAACCACTGGTTTAATTTTTTTCCAAAGGAATGTTAGTCTTTAAAATAACATTCATCAACATTTAAATCTTCATGGTTTACATGAAGTAACATCTTAAAATACAAATTTGCTTTAGAAGAGTCCTCACTGAATGCGAGGCGGAGAAGGGGTTGAAAGCCACTAACGTTTTCATGGGATCATTAAGCTTTTAACTCACTGTCTTGTCTGGTCTTTTCTTTATTCTGCTATAAAAGCAAACTTAGGGCATTCAGTTGTATTTCTCACTAGTGTATGAAAAAATTGTTTCTGTCTGCTTTTCCACTAGCTCAGGAGTAGCAGCGTTTAAATGTGAAAATAGGCTGAGTACTGCCTCTGCCCCCTTATCAGCAATCCCTCCCGTGAAACGAAAGCTGCTGAATTAAAGAGTAACGTGTGTGAGACCCGCAGTGTGTTCTCTTTCAGACCCGACACTCAGCACCGGGGCCCTGCCGCTCACGCAGAGAATGAAGTTCCAGAGCAGGAGGAAGAAATCCTGGGATCAGATGACGACGAACAAGAGGATCCAAATGATTATTGTAAAGGTGAGAACTTGCCTGTTTGGGGTGCAGGATTTTCAATGGAATTGAGAAATTCCCTCCATTTCCCATCTAGTGTAGAGAATTACAATAGACTCCCTCTTCCCGTAAGTGTATTTTGAAAGTGTGTGGCGACAATAGCATTTTTCAAGCTAACCTGAAATGGAGTAACTATTCTCCAAGGTTCCCTCTGTTATTGTCAAGATTTGAGTTGGAGAGCTGTTTTTAATCACGGGGTTAAAGCCGTTAGCTTTTCTTGTGTCGAGTGCTTTCGAAATTGGTAAACGAAAGAGGGCGTTCTATTTTTGATTTTCATCAGAAGAAGAACACTTTCAAATCCTTCAAATCCATTTCAAATTCTTCAGTGTTTTCTTCTGAAGATCATCATTGTAGTATTTATTCTTCAGATCGCTTTGTGTCTGCAGTTATAGTCTTCCACTTTTTCTCCGAGCATAGAAACTAAATACAGAGCAAATAGCCATACCACAGAATATAATTCACTATGGAAAGGGTCAGGCTGTTTTTTAACCTATCATATACTCTTCAAAGACAGAGCACTGATCATAGAAATTTAACTGATGAATTAGCTGCAACTTGAACGTGTGCGCCCACCTCCAAATGCTTTGTGAGACTATTTATTGTATATATTGAGTAAAACAGGAGGACACCTGTGTATAAAAAAAATAGCCGAGTAGCAACAGTGCAGGCAGCATTAATTGCAGTGTTTCTTAACTTTAGTGCTTTACCTGAAAGCATTTACAGTGCTTCTGGTGTGTTACCTGAGTATTTGTGGGATTCTGTTGGTTGTGCAGCAAGTGGGAAGAAGCAGGCCGGCGTCTGAGCTGGAGATCAGTGCGACTGTCAGTGTTGTCAGTGAAATGTTCAAGTGAACGAAAGGGGCTTCTGCTGCTGGAGCTAGTGACATCACGGAGAGCAGTTCTGTGTCTTGTTTGGGAAGCAGGCGATCAAGAGAGGTGAATCTCCCTAACAAAGTGTTTGCTGACCACAGCTGGAGCCTGGGATCTAGGGTGTAATTCCAGGTTCTAGGGTGTAATTCCAGGTTCTGGCAAAAAAATGGTGCTCAGTAATCACAGATCCTTCTCTTCATCCTGTTTTCTGCCAATTCCCATGTGTCTTTGCCTGGCTTTTCATGTCTTTGCTTCCATCATGGAATCCTCCTGCGCAGTCAGCAGCCTGAGAGCTCAGGGTACAGGGAGGAGACTTTCCTGTTTTCCATGGCGCTGTTAAATGTGAAGGGCCTCGCAGGGGAGCTCCGTGGGGATCTTGGACGCAGCGCTCTCTCATGTTACAGGGCCCGAGCGGGCAAAAGCAATGCTGATGTTTTGCTGGAAGATTCTGTGACCGAACGCCATAAGGTGTGGCTTTTCAAAGGGGGTCGGCCCAGCAGACTTCAGGTGCTTTCGCTGAGGAAATAATCTTTAGTGCTGCTGCAGCGGTGACCTACATTGAAGAGGAGGAAAAGGCAGTCGTTCTAGTTCAATTATATTAAAACTTTTCAATCGGCTAGAGGGCTGTTCTCAGCTCTTTCTCTAACACACTGTGTACTTGTTATAGCAGGATCCAATTAGAGAAACATTCGCATTTGTTTATGTGATTACAAATTTAAACACAACAAATAAGCCTGCCTCGGGTTGTGATGCTTGTTCCACGTACCTGCTCTTCAGCATTTGTGTGATCTCTTGATACATCGACTTCCTGCTGTTTTTTCTAGGTGGTTATCACCTCGTGAAAATAGGAGATCTGTTTAATGGACGATACCACGTGATTCGGAAGCTTGGATGGGGTCACTTCTCCACCGTGTGGCTGGCTTGGGACATCCAGTAAGTCACAAACGTGATCAGAAAGCGTCTTTTCTTAGCTAAAACGCACAACACGTAGCTGTCCCCATCCCAATGCACAAGTAGCTTCTGATATTGTGCGTGTGCAGGTGTGTGGGAGGGAGGTAAGAGTGTGTGGAAAGAGTGCTCTTGTTTGTGTTCAGCAATCATTTTATGAGCAATGTCTAGCACAGATGTTTTAGAAAAAGAGACTCAAAGACAATGAGTACTTAAACCTTATTTTTCCATGATGCCTTAAAGAAGTAGCTCTTATGTGCAAAAGAGTTAGGACAAACCTGGTGAATAGGTGCTTTGTATGAGCACTGACGGTCTCCAATTTACTTCCCGTGTGTGTAGAGGGAAGAGGTTTGTGGCAATGAAGGTGGTGAAGAGTGCAGAGCACTACACAGAAACAGCACTGGATGAAATCAAGTTGCTAAAATCGGTGAGTGTCTGAGACTGGGGTTCAATTTAAATTTTTTAAAAATTCATTTTGGGGGAGTTCATGAGTCATGTGGTTGATATTTATGAATCATCCAACTGGAAAGAATTTGGATAGGAAGTTGACAGCGCAGTAGATCTGACTACAAAATATATTCTTGCCTGTCATTACCTCAAGGACACAAAATCGATCCTCTTTTTCTCTGCAGGTCCGCAACAGTGATCCAAATGATCCGAGTAAAGAGAAGGTGGTTCAGTTGTTAGATGACTTCAAGATTTCGGGAGTTAATGGTTCTCGTATCCTTTTGGGAAATAAAGGCAAAGAATTGCATAAAGCTGGGAGTTCACTGGGTAGCTGTTGCCTCAGGACTGGTAAGCCCGTGCCCAGGGAAACCTGCTGTAGCATCGCCTGCTGAGCTCGCGTCCAGCCTGACAAAATGTGTAAGTGGCAGAAACCACGCGGCTTAGTCGTGCCTTTTATGTAAGAGGTGGATGGTTGTGTCTGATTTGTGAGTGGGGGCCAAACGGCTCGGTGTCCGAGGTGCCTCTGTGCTAAGAGAGACCGTCTATCTCAAGCCCTCAGTGTTACAGGCAGCTTGGTAATAACCCCTTATTTCGGTAAAGCAGTACAAAATGTTAAAATCAGTACTTAAAAATAGCAAGCACGCACAGTCTGGATAACTTGATAATCAGGTTGCTTTGTGGTGAGAATTACTAGGCTGCTTCAGAGAATCAGGCTGTAGGTTATAAATGTTCTAATGCTTTTGGAAAACAGTAGCTCCTCCATTTCCTCTATTAACTTTTTTCTGGTGCCTAGAACTGAGTAAATGTTGACTTGATCTTGTATTTCTTTCACTGTTGTGAAACACACGTGTGCTTTCTGCTTGTGTAGAAGAAAAGCAGCCTAATAGACTCGTACTAAAAGTTTGGCTTCTAAAGCAAAGGCACAATACGGAGTATGTCACTGGAGCGACTGTAGCTGTTGAGATTTTATAGACAAAAAGCAGTTAATGTAAATAATGTTGGAAGTCTGGGCTTGTCAAAAGTTTGTTTTGCTGGCAAAGAGGCAAGGGAGGGCAGAGAAAGTAACTTAATTGTTCTGAAGATGACTTATGAAATGGAAGTTTTATTATCTTTTCAAGTAATGCTGGGACAGAGAGATCTGGCATCAAGTTTTCCCTGGGGCCAGAGCCTAGGCTGTTCGGAAACGCAGGCTCTTGGCTTGAAGCTGGCTCGGCACTAGCAGGAAACGCTAATGCCCGATTCCTTGTGTGACTGGCTCCCACTCAGGGGATTGCAGCTGCATTAGGACCATTGTCCTACCCAGCTCCATCCCTCTCCCGTTTAGGCTTTAGATAACGACCCTGACGTGTAGGATCGGATGGTGCTGTTAAGGCAGGCAGCTTCTCTAAGCTGTGTCACAAGCATGAGGGTTCTTTAGTACGGAACGGTTAACTGGATCTTTAGATCCTTAGTCCTGGGAACTTGGGGCTCCTCGGGTCAGGATGTCTGTATTTTTCCTTGACTGAATTCCAGATATCTGTATGGTGTTTGAAGTTCTAGGGCATCATCTCCTAAAGTGGATCATCAAGTCCAATTATCAGGGACTTCCCCTCCCTTGTGTCAAAAAGATCATCAAGCAGGTAAGTTCCAGTTCTGACTGCACGGTTTCCCTGGACCCAGTGAGATCTCTTTCACTAACCTTTCCTGGATCTAAGAAAACAAAAGGTAGAAACCAGTGGTATATCTCTCATGCAACAAGATCATTCTTGAGTTATTATTTCCTTTCTGTACTGCAAAAAGCTTTTGCTGCAGATACTTATTTTCTGACACTTAAACCGTGTGGAAGGCCGGCTTTTCTTTTAACCTCTTCTTACCCTGGTTATTGTTATATATGGTTATATACCTTGGTTATTGTATTGCACTTACTGTCGTAAGTGCAAGTAATTTTTTTAGACACTGTCACAGTAAGTACAGTGCTTAATGATGGGAAGAGCAAGAGAAACGTGTTTTTCCTACAGGATGATTGCCTAAGAAGAAACATCTTGCTACATGTGAGGAGGAGGAAAGCATTAGTGTAGGGTATTAAGGTTAGGTTTCTAACTGTGGTAAGTTATGAGGATAAAGCAACACCAGCTCTAATCTGGAGTGTTCTCCAACACACAGGTCCTTCAGGTTCATTGGTCGTCGTAGGCAATGTTGCATTTTCACTTTGCTTTCAATTTGCTTGTTCTTTGCTTTTAATAACGATAGATTTCCTTCTCTCCTGTCTGCAGGTTCTTCAGGGTCTGGATTACTTGCACACAAAATGTCGAATCATTCACACGGACATTAAACCCGAGAACATTCTCCTGTGCGTTAACGACCAGTACATCCGCAGACTGGCTGCAGAAGCCACAGAGTGGCAGAGATCTGGGGCTCCCCCTCCATCTGGCTCTGCAGGTGCTTTTTTTCCTGAAAATTGGTCCCGTTTCCCCCTCACCTCCCTCCCAAGTCATCGCCGATGTCACTAGTGGAACAGCAACACAAGTAGCCCCTGAAAAGCCAACTGTAAATTGTGAAGTTAGTCATAAGTTGGAGCTCAAAGATGGTCAGGAAGGTGGTTGTTTGTATAAGAAAAAAGGAGGATCCGTGCATGCTGGTACCTTTTAAAACAGCTGATCTGGCCCTGATCAAGCTGTCAGGCAGTCACAGAATGGTTTGAGTGGGGGGTCAGTCAGCCTTGTGTAGCACACGCTGCCTAAATGTGAACACGCCCAGTATTGTGCTGGAGTGAAAATGTGCCGAGGTACTTCTCACGTTTTCTTCAAAAGTTTATTTCCTTTCGTTGCGTGGTGCTGGAAATGCATTTCCCAAAGGTCTCAGAGATGCTTTGCCTGTTGCCACTTAACAGAAGTCTGAAGAACTTGTAACAGAAACAGCTTCCTTGGCATGCTGACATCCCTAAAGATCTGAGAGCAATTTTTCTCTTGTTCCTGGTTCCTCGTGTTGCTCCTCAGAATATTCATCTGTACCAGCCTGTAGTTCTTAAGAACTGCCACGGTTTGCATTGGAAAGCTCCGTCAGTCATAATCTTACAACTCGAGCATTTAGCTGAGCGCATCATAGCATAGCTTAGCTTAGGGAAACTCCCTTAACTTTGCTATTTTAATGGTTTGCTTTGCATTTTCTTTCCAGTAAGATGCATAATACATGCAGTAAATGAAGCTGCGTGACAGGAAGTTTAAGTCTTTGATATCAGTCAACCAAGCCTACTCTCTGGAGTTATAATTATGCATTTACTCATGTCATGTTTTTCCCATTTATTTTTTTTTATTCTTGCTTTACTTTTATAGAGAAACAAGCCTTCAAAATACTATTTGCTGATAGCTTTAAAACATTGTTACCAAACCACCTAAGAAAAAGCTTACCTTAAGAATGCAGTTGTGATTTATGAATATAAACATACTAATTTCCTGATTTTCCTTTCCCTTTCAGTGAGCACAGCACCGCAGCCAAAACCAGTAAGTGTAATAGCTTTCGTGTGTAAGTATCCATCAACTGGTAGTACCTGCTGCGTCATGTTGTAACACAGTCAGTGTTAAGGGAAAGCAACCTGATATCAGAAGGAAAAATGTGGTTTGTGTTTGGCATAGGCACGGAGGTCTATGCTGTCTTGGAGATGTAAGCAGCATGAACTCCTGTATTACCAGAACGAGCAGCCTTTTGGTTGTCTCGGAGTCTGTCGTAAAGTTAATCATTGTCTGATCCCTCGTGTGGAGAACACTGCACGTTTCTCACGTCAGGACAGAAATGTACTGATAAGAGCCAGAGCCAGCTGCTCCGAAAACTCTATTATCTGCTTTTCATTTGGGAGAATTGACTCCAGAGTTTTCATCCCAGCGGCTTGAAAAAATTAGTTTGACACGTTTTAGATTTATTGAAATATGAAATGCTAAGTGCAATTTCTCCGCTCACTTCCTTGTAGGCTGACAAAATGTCAAAGAACAAGAAAAAGAAGTTGAAAAAGAAGCAGAAACGGCAGGCTGAGCTGTTAGAGAAGCGAATGCAAGAGATAGAGGAAATGGAGAAGGAAGCAAGCCCTGGGCAGACACAGCCTGAAGAGGAAGAAGAAGCTCAGAGCCCTCTGGAAATGCTCATAAAAGTTAGTCCACCAGAGGAAGATGTCAGGAGAAAGACAGGTGTGTACCTACAGTACTGCTGAAGTGGCGCAGTGCTGTCCTTTCACGGGTGCTGGCATAACGGGAGCCCCTTTAGCAGAGGTGCCCGTTGTCATTTAACCTGTTTGTGCTGTGTGCTACCCAGAAGCTGGGAAGTTTCCTGTTAAATTGAATTAACAAATGTGTTCAGCTGCATTTTGAGAACCACCTGCTTCTGAGGGCTCCCTCGGCCAGCTTCAGCTATTCCTTTGTTTAAGGCATGTTCTGCTATCTTCTTTTTTTTAGCTGAAGTTGTCGTACAAGAGCCATCTCTTCTCATGGAAGGCGGCGTGGAAAAATGCATCGCGGAAATAAACTGCAACGGAGTGATACAAATGACGGACTTCCCAGACTCCGGCAATCAAGGGTCTGTGCGCCTCGAGGATGACCTTCATAACGCCAATGACTGTGGCGATTGCTCTCACACGCAGAAGGAGGAGAACTTCCACAGTTGTAATTACGGGCAGCGTAACGGCGACTTGGAGAACGGGCCTCAAGAAGCGCTGTCGGACTCGTTCGTGCCCTTAGTTTCAGAAGATTCCATGGTGTGTCAGCCCACGTCCACCGAAGAGCGATCGCTCGAGGAGCGGGAGATAAACCATTTACAGGAAAGCATCCGGACGGAGCTGCCTTCAGAGGACGAGAACGAGAATAATAGCCCATCGGACAACAAAGGTACAGGAGGAGCCCTGTGAGGAAGGGCTCCTTGGTGCAGGAGAGTTGTGTTACAACACTTTGTCAGACTAGTAGTAGAAACCTCGATTTTGTAGGCTGAAGTGATCGGAACCACCTGTATGAGCCTTTTCCTGCCAGGAGTAACTAACCTGCCAGGAGTAACTAACCTCAGAGTCCTACCCCGAGACATTCCCTATTTGTTGCTCCCACTCGTAGCTGTTGCCTATTGGTTGCGTAAGTATTGCCGCTTCTAAAAGTACCTGTACATTTGTTTTTTGGTGCAGGAACGTTCCCTCCTTTGTCTTGGGTGTTACTTATGCAATTTTCATTAAATAATTAGAAATATAAGTCTACCAGTTGTCACTGGCTGTTAAATTAGAGGATGAGTGCTGCTCCTCGTGCTCTGGTAGTGCTGTTGTTAGCGTGGAGTGCAGGTAACTGCTCTCAGTAACTTGAGGGGAGTAAATGGTTTCCCAGAATTGGAGATGCAGCCTGAATGGAAACTTAAACAGTTTAGGGAAAAAACTCAGCTCTTTAATGCTTTTGTTTAAATACAGTTTGTTCCAGGGGGAAAGAACTTTTAAGTCTTGTATTTTTAGAACGTAAGACACATGGGAGCGTGCAGCGGTTTAAACACATCCCAGGCATATGTGTTTTAAAAATGTGAATCAGTTGATAAAAACAGTCCTTCTCTGCATCTTTTGAGTCAGGGTCAGGTGAAGAATATCTGCTTGGAGAAAGAGGGAGAAGCTGACATTTGTACTTATTTAAAAAAAAATAAATCTGTAGCGTTTTCTTGGCGGAGTACTGCTGGGGAGGAAAGTTAAAGATTTTGAAACTTGAACTGCATTTATTTGGATGCTGGCCTGGATTACTAGGTGTATTTTCCTTCTCACAGCTCTCTCCCAAACTGGTTTAGAGCTACAGCTGGATATAATTTAATGACTTCATGGTTTTGCTCTCCACTATGTCACTGAGGTTTTTCTTTATACATCCTTCAGCTCTTGTAACTGTCTCTCTTGCAGCACTGGGTGATGGGAATGTCAAAAAGACGCTGTACTATGTGGAATCCTGTCCTTCAAAGATTTAGGAAGATTTTAAGGGTTGAGAGGCTCTTTTTTTTTTTCTGGCAATGCCTTTATTTAAAAAGCTCGTTGCTATTTTAGACTTCTAAAGGCTGTGCGAAGAGTGCTGGGAAACAGTTGCTCTTGCACGCTTCGCTTCACAGAATCAGAGTGTCTTAGGTCAGAAGGGACCTTAGAGATCATCTAATCCAACCCACCTTAACTGGACCAGGTTGCTCGAGGCCTCAAAGTCTCCAGGGCGGGGGCAGCCACAGCCTCTCTGGGCAATCTAGTCCAGAGGCTGGCCACCCTAAGACTGAAGAATTTCTTCCTAAGATTCAATCTAAACCCGTTCTCCTTCAATTTAAATCTATCTCCCCTTGTCCTATCCCTGGACAGTCTTGTCAAAAGTCCCTCCCCAGCCTCCCTGTAGGTTCCTTCAGGCACTGCAGGCAGGGATAAGGTCCCTCCAGAGGCTTCCTCTTCTCCAGTCCTTCTGCTTTTTAACATTGATTGGGTCTTGGTGGAGCTACTTCTGTTTGTAGTGCAGGCTGGTACCGAGTTTTACACCTTCGGGGAGGGGAAAAACTTGTCATCCATAAGCAAAACCCTACCTGGGGGGGCAGGAGAGAGGGTTGAAGGATTTGGATGACAGATGGTGACACTGTCCGTGTAACTTTAATCAGCTGTTGTACACGTTGCCTCTAGGAAAATCGACTGCTGGGAATTTCCTTCTTAATCCTCTTGAGCCCAAGAATGCAGATAAGCTCAAAGTGAAGATAGCTGACCTAGGAAATGCCTGCTGGGTGGTAAGTTCACAGTCTTTTCACATCGGCTGTTTAAACCTGCTAATTCATTCACAGTATGCCAAGATGGAAAAGCATCTGTAAAACTGAATCCGTCGCAGACACGCTTGTGAAACTGGTGACAATTTGAGACTATGCTGGGGAGAAACGAGGTGGGGGAGCAGAGCCACAGGGAAATGGTTCTCTGACGTGGGTTTTCAGCCCGTGTTGTGCGTGGCTCTTCAGTCCTTAGATTACTTATAATGGGCCAGGGAATAGTGTCACGTGTAACGTGGAGAAACCTGCACATGAGAAACTTCCGCAGGAGTCTGGCTCTCCCGGAAAGTGAGGAGCTTGCAAACCGTTGCTCTGATGTGCCAGTTTATCAGCTTGTTGGGCCATTTCAGTAGATTCATGAGCACATGAAAGAGACTCAAAACCAGTTTTATTCTTTGGTTGTGCTGCGCTGCTTTTCAGCGTTTGACATTTCAAATAGAAGAAATGTCTATTTTACTCGGCTTTTTAAATGGCAAAAATACTTCAGATCTTAGGGGAGAGGTGAGAATCAAACTCAGAATCGGTCGCCAGGCTCGCAGCGTCTGGCAAGGCAGTCTCTCCCGTCAGCGTTGCTTGTCTGCTGAGTCCTGGCCCTGTCTGTCACGGTCAGCTTCTGAAACAGTCTTCCCTTATTCTATTTTTGTGACTTGCTTTCCTTTAAATTTCTGGACTGTTCTACGTAAGGACAAGGCTCTCGTGTAGAGCATTTAAACAGCACTTGTTATAATACAAGAGAATATTTAATGAGGGAATATTTAATTCGGATGATGTGTAATGGGAATGAGCTTTGACCTGCTCTGACCTCCCAGATTGTCGATGCAATTCTTTTAAACAGCCTCTAACTGTGGGGTAAAACATTTCTTCTGTTTAGCACAAGCACTTCACTGAAGACATCCAGACGAGGCAGTACCGGTCCTTGGAGGTGTTGATAGGATCGGGCTATAACACCCCTGCTGACATCTGGAGCACAGCGTGCATGGTGAGTGTTTCCCTACCAAAATTTTCTTTCACTTTTTTTGCCTCTTTTCCTTTCGGAAGCCATTTTTGCTCTACGGCACCGGTGGGTTTCACGCGTAACTCTACTTTGACGTCGTGCTTTGTGGAGGAACAAGGCAACCGTGCAATTGTGAAAAGTCTTCTTGTGTAAAGAGCCTTTCTGCTGCATCCAGCACTGTTTCATAGATGTTTTCGGTATAAATTTGTATTATATGCATTTTCTGCATGCTTGAAATCGCTTTATAATCAGAGCAATGCTGAGACGAGGCTGAAGTTGTTTCTGTAATAGCTGGCAAATGTAGGATACAGTGTTTAAAACAAAAATAAATCAGTCTAGTCAGTTACTACGTGTGCCTCTGTCTCCATTCTGTGTTTTCCACAAATCAAAGCTTGGAAAATAGTAAGAGATTTTCACTGTCTCGGAAAACAAGCTATGATTTATATATTTTTTTTTTTATGAATGTGGTAAAACAGAATGCCTACTGCATTGTCTCTGCAGAGCGTGTTGGCCAGAATTATGCAGTGGTTGCTCCGAGGCCATAATTCAATAGTTGTAGGCTACAGCAGTCTGTAAAGAAAACTAAGAGTGCAGAAGGTCGAAGGTACTGGTTTGAGTAAAAGTGAACGCGCAAGTGGGTAAACGTGTCACGGAATTTAGGAGTGGGGAGTTGAAATGAATGCATGTGGTTTGGGCATTTAAAAAGTGGGTTTGTATGTACAGATGAATGAGTGTTTGGAGATTAACTGCTTGAAAAAGAATCTTGGGGGGGGTGAAAAAATAGTGACGTTTTTCAAAACGCTGTTGAGGCGGGAGAGGGGCTCAGCGTGGGGAGACAAGCGGACTGCATTAGGCTGTGATCCACAATCAGCCTGGGGTGTTTTTTAACGCAGTTTTTAAGGTTGCAGAGTAATTGGGTGCCGTGAGGCACCGCCACTTTGTTTCTGGCCTGTGGAGAGACGTAGAATCGATGTGTTAAAGTGAATTAACGTGCTCCTTCCCGTTTGTTTAGGCCTTTGAGCTGGCGACGGGGGACTATCTGTTCGAGCCTCATTCTGGTGAAGATTACTCGCGGGATGAAGGTGCGTTTGGGCTAAGCCTTCCCTTTTTAAAACAAGACGTGAAATGCAACGGAGGCTTCTGCAGCGTGAGCTTTCTCTTAGGAGTTAGCCACGCAAAATCTGCTTGCAGTAAGGTTGTTTGCCCTGGTTGGTGGTGTTGGGAACAACTCAAGGCTCTGCAGTGAAGTCCGTGTTCTTATTCTCATGTTTTCTGGATTCTCTCTATTGTGCTTCTCAAACTGTTCATGCCTCAGGTGGCCCTTTTTGCCCCTGGACTTTCCCCTTCCTTAGTGTAATCCGATTTCAGGTGGATCTCGAAAGTAATTTTTAAGGGAAATAAAGACTTTGTCCTTATACACCAGAGAAGGAAACCGGGGGCATAGAGCTGTCTGGTGTGGATGTGTCTCATTGTGTTCTCTTTGGAAAAACCGCAGATCACATCGCATTGATCATAGAACTTCTGGGGAAGATACCTCGCAAGCTCATTTTGGCAGGAAAATATTCCAAGGAGTTTTTCACCAAAAAAGGTAAAAGGAAACAAATATCACTTGTCCCCTCATCCCCTGCCCCAAATAGACGAGTGCCTTGCTGAAAATATCAATGAACAGTGGCTGGTGGGAAAGGTGCCTCTTTAAGTCTTCTCTTTGTTTTATGAAAGGCTTTCTCAGTAAAACTGTAGCTAGAAAAGTATCCTGCGTCCTTGTACTTGATGTCTCAGCGCTGATCAAATGGAGCAGGTAGAAAAGCAGCCCTGTAGATACTTCTTCAGCCTTGATTCGGCTTTATTTAGCTGCTCTTTGTCAAGTAGAGGTGTTGACTCATCTTTGAAGTCTTCTCTGTTCCGTTTCTAGCATGCCAGTCACGTAAACAGCACCTTGCATCCGGAGCTGCCTTGCTCAGGGCGTGTTACACCATTATCACAAGGGCTGCAGAAATTTATTGAGTCTCAGGAGGAAGCTTTTCACCTAGTTTAATACTTTTTTTTTAATAAAACTAATGCTTGTTAGTAGCATATTGCTCCCTCAGACAGGGCTGTACGTATTGCACGCGTTCCAGAGTCAACAGCGCGCTGTTCATCTGTCGTGTCGGCCGGTGTAATTGGTGATTTAATGAGGTTAAACAATATTTGCTGATACTGGATCAGAAATGGCAGGAGGTGAAAAAAGAAGCCTTCAAGGGAGAACGTTTCTAGAACGGTCTTCAAAAGCACAGAAAAGGGGTTTAATATAATGTGTTTTTCCTTCAGTGTGCTGTTTTATTATCCTCCCTATCCCCTCCAGAGAACGGTTTGAGTTGAGGCTGTCTGCTTGGGCTCTATTTTATTCAGCTCCTCTGCTCGCCCATCTCACGCTTTAACCTCTCTGTCTTGTGTTTTCAGGTGACCTGAAGCACATCACCAAACTGAAGCCCTGGGGCCTTTTCGAAGTCTTGGTCGAAAAATACGAGTGGTCCCAAGACGAGGCAGCTGCTTTCACAGACTTCTTATTGCCTATGTTGGAGCTGATCCCGGAGAAACGAGCGACGGCAGCCGAGTGTCTCAGGCACCCCTGGCTTAACTCCTAGAGCCTTCGCCCTGACGCCACAGCACTACTCTCTGGTTTACACCGTAGCGTTACATGCACCCAGCTGCCCTCTCCCAGGGTGGTTTTTTTTGTTTTGTTTGTTTCTTTCTTCCTCCTTGTTCGTTTTCAGCGTGAAGTTCTTCCCTTCGAGGCTTCCGAGGTTTTAGATAAATCTGTTCTGCCGAGTTTGCTTGCGTGACTCTGTGGGGACTCTCCTCAACCAGCGGGCGTCACCTGGGTTTTGCCTTGATTCGGCTTCACCAAAGACTTTAATTGACTAGAACGTAAAGTTTTCCTGAGTCTCCTCGCTCTTACGCGTCCTGTGGGACAGGCGTGAGCTGGCCCGTGCTCCCTCAGCTCATTCTCAACTCCTTTCTTCACGAGGCAGGCGGGGGGGACGTGAAGATCCGAACGCCTCCTTATCTCGCCGACTCGGGAGCCAATTTCCCGCTGTTGATCCAGTAGCTGGCAGGGGGGTGGGAAGTGCCAGATGGCACCAAGGTGGTGTTAGTTCCTTGTAGAGCAAATAACCTCCAACTCCTCCAGCATTTTCTAGGCATCTGCTGTATTTTTTTTTTTTACTTCCTGGTCACATAACTTTTCTTTAGTCCTAGCTGCTTACTTTTCAAAAAGAGCTATTTAAACCTAGGGTTCAGCATCCTTTATTTCTTCCTCCAGAGTGCCCTGCCCCTTTTAGCGTTCCTTTCCCTCTGCCCAGATAGTCAGAATAGTCTCTGACCTCGGTGACATTTCCTGCTTTAACACCCGTGGCTTAAAGGTGACAAGCAAAACAAGCAAAAAGCTGGAGCTGACTCGACGCACAACCCTCGGCGTACGGATGGGTGCCCTCCCTGGCTGCAGAGAGGCAGCCTTTGTTCCGGCAACCCCTGGAACGTGTAACGTTTTAGAGAGCTGTAAGTTCGGTTTTTATCCCTTGCTGACACTTTTTTGCCTTGCTCGAGGCGGTTGCTGGGTCTGTGAGCGATTGGCCTTCACTGATGAGTCCACGCTGGCTTTTCATTTTCTATCTTTTTCCCTCAGAAAAGGGTGGCAGCACATGTAGCGTGCTCTAGCCCTTGACTTTCACAATCAACCCGTGAAGGCCAAGTGTAAAGATTTAACTTGCTTCAGGTGCTGGCCTTTGGAAACAACATCGCAGGACGGGACTGCCTTTTATTTTCAGGGCCCTTAGTACAGGGAGAGCTAGCAAAAGTAGAAGAGAACCGACTTTCCTGTGTAGATACTGGATTAGAAGCTGTTTCCAGAGTTACCCCAAGTAAAAATGGTCCGTGGGGTTTCTTTACAAACTTCTCGGAAGGGATTGGGTTTCATGAGTGAAATGGGTTCATTTTAATTAACAGCTAAATCACTGTGGCATTTGCTAGTTTTATGGTAGCTTCTTCTAGACTTGCCCATCCTATGACAGGCTGAGCTGCCTCCTGCTCTACTCAAAAGTGAGATTTGGCAGCCTCGAGATTTCAGAGGCGCTTCCTTACCCTGGACCAAACAGGCCTTTGGATTCATGGTGGCTCTCGGAGGACAGAAGTTGCTGCAGGAGCGTCCTGGAGGCCACGTGGACACTACCCGACACTGAACAACTTTGCCAAAGCTGCCAGGACCACTGTTACATGTCACTTCTGTGCGTTTGGAAATCCTGCTTCGTAAGGACTGTTCATTCATAAACCTCGGTGTCATTTAATCCACTTGAGAAGAGTTTCTGCAGAACAGAGCCTGATTGGGCTCCTTGATGCAAACCACGCTGCATGTTCTTTTAGGGGTAGATCAGGTTCTCTATGCATATAATCTCAAATTAAAGGAAGGTAACATACCAAAAGAGTTTTAAACTGCTGATTTGACCTTTTTTTTTTTTTTTATCATCGGGAGTTTTCCAGTTGCGTGTCACTCCTGTGTCTGTTACAGAAGCACTGCAGGCAGGACTGGGTTCCCACATACCTCCTGTCCACACAACTGTGGAGATACATTGGCAGGGCAAACGATTTCTGGTTCTTGAAAGCTCACCCGGTCCCACGTAAAGAACTGTTCCCAAGAGGGGTCTGCACGCTTCGACTCCGAGAGCTCCTTCCCGTCCTTCCCTCTGCCCACCCTGACCCGAGCCTGGAGCCGGCTGGTGAGTTGAAGACCCGCAGGAGCCGCTGTTGAGGATTCAGTCCCGTACCGCGTGCTCGTTCACTTGGGGTTTGTTCGATTTCCAAACTGCCGTAAAGTGCTCACACTAAAGGATTTGTACTTGCTGTGTCAGTCTAAAACCTGAAGGAAAATACATTTTTATTCTTTCTACTTGGGTGCTTCGTCTTTTTTTTTTTTTCCTTTGTGAAAGCCGTACAATAAACAAGATTATTTAATAACCGAGCGCCCTTCCTCCTATGTTCCCTCTCTGAGTCAGTTCTTCCCGAGCTACTGGCCTGGCGATTAAATTTGCGTTGCTAGCAAGCGCTTAGTTTTGATTTCCAGAAGGAGATGTGGGGAGATAGTGAAGATTTAGTTGCTGGTGCTGTGATTTGCTTTAAAAGGAGGAGCAGAGCGGGTGATAGCTGGACATCACCACTGGGATCTTTCCATTCTCGGGTATGTTTTTCTCCAAGTCTCTGATCTCTGCTGTCTTTCCTCGCAAAGTCGCTACAAAAGACTTTACAAGAGACTTTTTACAAAAGCGCTTGGGAAGCGCTTTAATTTTTTTTTTTTTTTTTAGAGGGAAGCGTGGAACTGGAAGGTGCTTGTTAGAACCGAACTGAATTGACTGCTGCAGGAACTGACGAATTCCAGCAAGGAGAAATGAGAATTAGAGACTAATGGAGGGTGAAGAGGCTGGGGCAGGGTGTTGGATCTGATGAGAAATGGTTAATTACCAGGATTAATTGGGGCGGTGCAGGGAGTCGGTGCTGACTGGCACCCTCTGCTGCACTCTGTGGGTACTGTTATGGCCAGGCAGGGGTTTGTTGGTTTTTTCCCCTAGAAAATTGCCTTTTTGGGGTTTTTTAAAGGTTGTGTTTTGGTTTTTGTTGCCCAGAGTGGGAAGCTGATTCATGGCTTTGCTAGAAATTGGCTGTGTCGTCATATTTTTTGAGGGTAAGGGCAACCTGGGGCACGGCAGAGGATTTCCCCTGGCCCAAGGTGACTAGCACAAAATCCAAACCACTATTTATTTATTTATTTTTTTTTAATTCAGAAATAATATCCTTGAAAGATGTACAAACCCCAAGAAGCAGCAAATTACCACCCTTCCCCTTTTGCCCAGCTTTGCTGATGGACTCAAAAAAGCAAAACAAACCCTTGTGCCCAGTTTGGGCTCTTCCCATCGAGTCAACTCCACGAGAGCCGTGAGCCTATAACGGCCCCTTGGGTGAAAAGAGCAGCTGTAGAAAATCCACACAAGTTGGTAAGTTTAAAGCTGCGGGAAAAGTCATTTTAAAGACAAAGGCTGATGGAAGAAGATCTCAAGGTGTCCCTGGGAGGAGAAAGAATAGCTCAGCTGTTGCCAAATGGAGGATGACTTCGAATTTTAAGCTCTTTGGTCACTTGGCAAGGATTTATGCTTCCTTGGTTTCAGGAGGTGAAGAAGGACTATTCCCCCTTTAACCACAAATAAAACCACAACGACTGTAGCACCAAAATCTATAGGATGTTCAATCCCTTAGTAATCAAAATAAAACAGCACCAGGACGTGCTGAGAAGGAATATCAAAAATCCCCGCGGGCAGCACTCACGTGGTGATCAGCTCTGTCCGTCGTTGCCTTCTTCTGTAAAACAAGAATTAACAGTGTTAATTGGGTGTAGGGGTGACAACGTGGGTGCAGGTGTGTCGTCACCTGCCTCGTGGCGACCACGACACTTCTCTTGCTTCTCCCACCGTCCTCCCAAGTGCCAGCCCCCAGCTGCGGGGTGCAAACGCTCTGCCCCAGGATGGCCGCTCGCACCTCAGCCCCGGCTGCTTTTACCTTTATTTTCCACTTTAAAATCGGACGGGAGGAGGTTGTCCTGCCGGTTGCCCAACACGAAGGCCAGGAAGGAGAGTATGAGGGCGTCGAGGATGCCGATGATGCAGAGGATGTACGCCCAGCGCACGGTGCAGGCGCCCAGCGTGTACTTGTCCGTCTTGTCCCCGCACAGGCGCTTCACCTCGCTCGAGTCCCAGCCGTCGGGGTAGATCAAGCAGCCGATCATGAGCCCCGTAGCTGCGGGCGAGAGGGAGACCTTACCTCCTGCTGCACCTGGTTTAGGTGGAGGAGCCACAAACCCAGTGCTGTGAACACGTAAAATACTACGGACCGGCAGAGCAACCTCAGAGGTGACCCGTGGTTGCTCATCGCGCTCTGCTCTGCTCACTCTGCCTCCTCGAGAGCTCGGGGTGCAGATCGCTGGAGCTTAGGGTACAGATCCCTGGAGCTCGGGGTGCAGATCCCTGTCAAGGACACGCTGCAGCAGCAGCATCTTCCATCCCTGCGTTGCCCAGGCAACGTCTCTCCTGCCTCCGCGCACATCCCTGGCCCTGTCACGCCAAAGATATATTTTCTCCGAACGAAACTGGGATGGATTTAGTCTTTGCAAAGTGGAGAACCTTGTTGCTGCTGGGCTTTGGCTTGTAGTTTGCTACGAGAGAGCTGCCGGCAGCAGCAGCTTTGCAGGCGGGGGGGGTGTTTTTTTTTAGCCGCGGTGGTTCCAGCCCGACTGGGGCACACACAGAACGTCGCCTTCAGGGTTTTGCCATGAGAGTTGCAACAAATCCAGCTGCCCTAGGGCCTGTGTGCTGCCAAAAGACTCATGTCACAAACCTCAGAAGGACTTTCCTCCCGCCACTGGACAAGAGTGACCAGGTTCGGGAGGGAGAAGTGACAAATTCAGCTGCAAAGCTTTGGGATGTTTGCATCCTTCTCTGTCATCTCGGTGCATGGAAGTAACTGGTTGTTTATGTCTTTTTTTTTTTTCTTTTCAGGACCTCCTGGGCTCCTCACACCAGAAACAACCCTGTGATGGGACCTCTGGACAAGCAGATGTTTGTCCCTGGCCTTGGCAGGCACCCACAGCCTCCCGCAGCAGCGAGGTGCTCCCTGCCCTGTACTCGCGCCTTTTCTCTGTCCCTGGGTGCCAAAAAACCACTTTTGGGGTGGTTGCCTCACCCTTTGCTGATGTTTTTTTCCGTTGTTTCGGGCACAGGGGAGCAGCAAAGCCAGCGGACAGCTTCCTAGGTCTGCAGAAAACATTTCACTGAGAAGCAGCTGGTTTCTCCCATATTTAATTAACTCTTCCCTGTAGCTAAGAGACAGGAGGGGCACAGGGAAATGGAGGAAGCTGTAAAGAAATCACTTCTCCTATGAAAATGCACCCTGGGCGCAGAGAAAAAGGCCAGAAAGTGGATCC